TGGCGCAGGAAACTCAACTACGGGGACTCACCTCCGGAGGCGCGGCCCAGATGGCAGTAAGTTGAAGCAGATCCTCGCGGTAGAAAACCTGCAATGAGTTAGATCACATCATGAATGCCAAAAAAAAGATACAGTGGAATTCAATGACTTGGGGGTGATGGGCCGCAGCATGGCCCGGCAAACTCGCACTTATGTTTTTTTTTCCCCCTTGGTTTCGTCATCATCTAGAGGTGAGTATCTATATCTCTATTCACGTTAGATGAGTGCCGCCAATCAGAAGGGTTTGCGGCGGACGCAATTGTTCGATCACATGACCTGAGTACGTCGCGCGACACGACCAAACTTCCTCAAATACATAGCTAGGTCTCAAGAAAATATCCAGTGCGATGAATTTCGGCAAATTATTAGGACACGATCTGTTGATGCAGCTTGGTATCTCACGGTCTCCAGTATATAGGGAGTTGTTCGCATAGGTGTCAGAATCATCCACCACATCGATCATTCACGAACGCAAACTCTGTATATATTCAAATCCAACTAGATCTAATTCGTTAAAGCAGCTTCTGCAGAGTACGCAGCAGCTCCGTACATTCATCCGCAAAAATGCCAATGGAACACGGCATGTTAGAGTCCAATTGTAACTCCGTCAACAATGGAGCCACGAATAGACCGCTGAGCCGGGGGAGAGAGGCACCGTCGAACTCTACAATGAGTCGACATAGATGAAGGAGGTATATGAAAGGGGTTCTTTTCAAGAATGCAGGAGAGCAAGGTTAATTGCAGCTCCGAGATTGGCACCGACACATTTAGCACCAGGACCAAATCTGTGTACAGCAACGCGGGGATTTTAGCGAAATGTCGCCTGACAAGGTTTCGGAGAGAAGCCACGTTGAGAGTGCATATATGGACTCCTGCCGAGCGCGATTTCGACACGGACAGTGGGAGTGGGGGAGAGGTGGTGTATAATAGGATGTGGCAGGAGTGATATCCGGGCGATCTGTGACAACTAGAGAGAAGGCGTGGAAAGTTATCAGGGGGTAGGGTCGGATGGATGAATACATCCATTCCCATTCACAATCCCTGTCGCAAACAACTGATAGTCTGTGACATTGAAAGCTAGCGGACCGAGGGAGGGAAGAAAGTCGCAGTAGAAATCTGCTATAGACCTAAATGGAGTACCACGACGAGTGTGGTGACCCAAACGACTCAACACACGGATGTCCTGAGACAGGTGCAGGAAAATACTGAGCACTGATGATCCGGATCTCTCCAAGTCTCAAGAATTTTGTAAGAAAGTCGATACTGGAACTGCGGGTGATGTAGATGACGGTCCAAAAAGCAGGGTTGCAGTCGAGAACATCCTGAAATAGATGTGACACCAAAAACAGGTGCCTGCGCATCTTCGCCAGAAGTGCCCAACTCTCGAAGGAATTACTGAGGACCAGGAAAAGGATGGTGTCAAGCACCTCCAACGGCAACCGTGCGATACAGTCGATGGGGATGTTGATGGCCAGATTGAAGATAATACAGGGAAATATGACTTCGCAGGCGTCTAGTCCGATCTGCAGATAGGTTCATTAGAACAACATACACCTGCACCCCCCACTTGCAGCCCTTTCAAAAACTGAATGACAGAACCTACGTTCCCAAATACTATGCTTCAGTCTAGTCCTGTTGTTCACAAACAGAAACTTTAGTTTCTTTTTGTGCTTAGAGTACCGACAATGTCTGACATCGGCTTATATAAACACATCAGTGATCACATCAAACTTTTAGTCTGTCATATCTTTTACGCTCTGTTTGTGCTCCGCCGCTTGCTGGCGACTCACTCTCATTACCGCAAGGGTCCGATCAGGGTATTCGCCTATTACCAATCACCTTTGTAGGGGTGAGATTCGTGTATTTTCAGCGGAAAATGGTGTAGACCGACACTTTACCTGGCTGCAAAGAGAGCTGTCTTTTCAGAATTTTGTGAGTTGGCCGAGGCCTCTCACTATTGGACAAGTTTGATGGCCCGTTTCGAGCATTTGGCAAATGATTGGAAATGACCAGCCAAAAGATTGGTAATAAGCGGATACCCTGATTGGGACCCCCCGGTAACCAACAGACTTCAGCAAGCGAAGTATGAGCTTCGAGTTGAAGCGTCTGTCAACGAGAGACTAGCTCGATTCAATTGGTCGACATGAAGTTATCACTTCACATACAGTGAGCATCGTGTTAAACACAGGATACGGGCTAAATTGTATTCCCAGACATTGCCTACAATTAAGGCTTTTGTATAAATACTACACTTCCAACGAAGGCACACAGCTTTATTTGAGTTACAGTTGTTTAAAGGGCTTCAAAAGAGTTGTAAATAAAAGAACGAGTATCGAGAGAATCGAACCTGCACGAGAATCGAGGAAAAGACTAGGAGACATCAACACAGCCACTATAACCTCACAAGAAATAAGGAGTTTTAAAGGACAGCCACTAAAGACACTTCAACACAGCCACTAAAAACAATAGCACAGCCCCTATCTACTTAGCTTGGGACACTTTTTAATTATACCAGACGTCGAAAACTTCATTTCGGTTGATTAAAACCCATTACATAAGTACTCGTAATCTACTGTAGACCTCGCGATTGACTGATCAGGACAGCGAAGGGAGACCGGGTACGTGACGCTGGGGGTCAGAACTTTGTGCATCCACAATGAGGGTTCCTACACCGACATTTGTAAAAAATGTTGTGAGAATGTTTGGTTGACAATGTCCCGAGATCCTCACCAGATGGTTACCAAATATTGCTGTGAACATCGTCACAATACCAAAACGTCAATTCCCTGATGCTTTCTCAACATGGTATTCTTAGAACATTCTCGGCGACATCTCCTGGATGTTTCTGTAGCATTTTGGGAATCTTTTCCAGCATATATAAATCTCATTGCAACAATGTAAAACTGGAAAGCAAATGGAATTGGAGCCAAATATATACATCCTGCACAATATGTATACGAAGAAAAGGCCACCCAGTAACACACTGCCCAATGCCTCTGCGGTAATTATACTCATGCACGATGCAAAGCGTGTCGCCGCTCTCAGCACGTCAGCACGGCAGCGCCGTACTGGTCAGGATGCTTGCGGCCGAACAGTGCAGCCGATGTTGGTATGTAATGGGAGGAACGAAAAAGAGGGTGTGCCAGCATGAATCAATTAACCTTGATAGATTGAAATGTACTTGAAGCCCAAATGTGCGGGTTTGAAGTTTGAGTTATGTAATTATAAAACTTGGGGCGTTCGGGACAAGCCACAACTTGATTGCCCGTGAGAAGGTTTGACTTGAAAAGCGTGGACGCAGGACCGTAACAATTTGAAGTAGCATTGATCCACACAGTTAGATGCTTGCGATGATTGTACAGTCGGCTTGCGCATGAGGAACGAGTCGGAGGTGTAGACCCTGGCCGAAGAGGGCACAAGTGCAAGGAGGAGATTGTACGTGGACGGAATTGGGACGGAGGTGGGATGGCGGAGCTATGTTCATCGTGCACTGTTCTTCGAGGGCGGCACGGAGCAGCGCTGCGGAAGAGCGGTGCCATGCTGAGGATATGAGGTGGAAACATATGTAAACTCGCCGGTGTGTAGCGGACGATTGGCGGATGTGGCAGAGATTGTGCTCGCATGCCCACTTTGCACCCACTCCTTGGCTCGATGCATTGAGACAATGGCGCGAATTGGCACAGGTTTTGGGATCGCAAACCGAAGTGCGCTGGCATCTCCCGATGCAGCGCCGGCTATGGACATATGCCGCGGTCATTTATCTGACCGCACATTTATCTCCCAAGTAATTGCATTCATGTCTCCGATACTTACCTGTAATTGTACTTATGGTCTCTTATGGTTTCATACATAATTTGTCTGGTTCAAGATATATTTACCTTGTGTTGTATTTAAGCAGTAGGATATCGGGAATATACCTCAGTTTAATCCTCTCCACTTTCCCTCTTTCAATAACAGGCACTTTGAGGGCTTCAAAAGGGGGAGGGGACAAAGTGCATGTATTGAAGGCATTGAAGGATTGAAGGCTAGGTTTCTCCGGGACGATGAGAGATGGAGGGAAAAGTGAAGAGGCAATGCCAACATTGACACTTGTTTGCTATTTGATGGCTTCTGCGCACGGACCACGCATCCCGTACATCCGCGGTGCCAACTTCCTCCGACTTTCCTTCCTTCAAGTTCGTTCTGAATCTCAGTTGGGACAGGGATGTCTGCCCATCCAAGTCCTGCAGCTGCTCCCCATGGCCTTTACTCTATGCAAGTAAGCAGAGAATCGGAGCTGTTTATTCAATACTTATTGGGTCTTTAGGCCTGCACAGTTACATCCTTATGAGTGAGCTGCGCACACGGCATACGGATATAGCACGTACTCACATTGTTGCATGATATAAGGTTGGCCGGCGAGACTACGGTATGATATAAATATTGCGCTCGATGTATATTTAGGGTCAAAAGAATGTTATTGCAACCTTGTGAGAATGTCTCAACAATATTGAGCTTCCAATGTCGCGGAGATGTCATTGCGATATCTCTGACACATCCTCAGAAATATTTGGAGATTATCAAACCTCAATGTTTGAGATATAAAAGACTCGAATGGCGGTCTATGGGAGGTGAGTGGCAATGATGAGAAAAAATGGAAGGTTGGAAGAAGACGGTTATGGCTCGAGCCCGAGTCGAACGATCATCTTCCGCATCAGATTCTTAGGGGACGGCTTATTAGAAGCAGGTGCGGACCGTCCGCCATTGAGCCGATATCTGGTTGTTTCGCACCTGAATACGCCAGGATAGTTTGAGAGATTTCCAAGACAAGGCTTGTCTTCGAGAAGCCTCCGGTGCGTTCTGTGAATGGACCAAAGTCGGGGGGATTTGACGTTCGGAAGGCAGCTAGGAGTTTGATAGAGTTGCTGGAATGCGAAAGGTGAGAGTATTGCAGGCAAAACAGGAGAATGCAGGCTGACAGATGGCTCGAGCCCGGGTCGAACGGGCGTCTCCTACATAATACGTGTACGGTTGTACTATTGAACTCACAGTGAATGCAGGCGCGGACCCTCCGCAATCGAGCCGTTCTCAAGCGTGGTTGGTGCGTGCCCAAATTTGAGTCTTTTCGATGCGCTGGGCAGGGATCGGGAATATAAAATCTGAGACTGGGGAATAAAGATTAGATAAGGGCACGACCCCTCGGGAACGTCCGTCGGGTCTGAACTTGTTCTTGTGTCCTGCATGGAGTGTTTATATGTCCCGCATGGAGTATTCGAACGAGTCAGTGGGACACTCTTTAACGAGCGAAAGGCAAAAGGAAAGCGACCTCATCTGAGTTGTCACATTGCAGCCTGCAGGCGACGGACGTCTCCTCAGCAGGCGCCGCGGCAAGGCTACAACACGGACCGACGATGGCTCGATTAAAAGTGTGTCCCGCATGAGGTATTCAATTCATGAGCCAGTCGCGCCGCGTGCGAATTGAAACTTCTCACTGCAAGTGATAGGGCTTCGAATCAGAAATTAGAATCGGCGGAGGAGATCTGAATAGTCGAAATATCAGATGCGTCTCTCGAGGCGATGCCAGGGCTGCACATTGACAGACGGGGACCGGATTGGAGTCTGCACAAGAGTCGAGGGGGAGTTGAGGGATTCGATTTTCTCGGAGTGGGAGGATTCAATTTTGACGGAGGTGGAACGGCGGGGAGGCAACATAACATGATCTCAGGGAGCCCGGGGATGTACCGCAGTGCGATGTGCGTCTGAACCGGTGCACGTCCGTTACGAGGCTGAGGGCTCGAGGCTCGAGAATGGGGAGTATACCGCGCGGCGGGGCAGGAAATCAAGTGCACGGCGAGCTATGGTTAGGAAAAATTGTGGGCCGAACCCGAGCTGAGCGGGCATGTTTGAATTTTGCAGAAGAGTCTTCCCGAAACGCGGGCATGGAGCGGATACCAGCGTAGTTTAGAAGCTGAATACTCGGTGTGTCCATTGAATTGCGGAGTAAGTACACGGGCACGTTGTAGGACAAAGTAAATAACGTGGATGACGAATGCGGATGCGGATTGGGTGCAGATAAGCTGCGGCGCGCGGTCTTGGGTGTATTGTGATGTGGAGGGTGCAAAAGGATGGTTATGACCGACGCGGCGGGATCAAGGGAGGAAGGCTTTGTGGATTGCGGGCGTGGTACGACACGTACGAATCAAAAAAAGAAATGGAGGGCGCCATCTCGTCGACGGTGGTCCCTGCATGGGTTGTTTTATCGGCGAGGGCAGAATAGAGTGAAGTACGGCCCGCTGCTCAGAGATGACCGGGGAATTGGGCATGATTCGAACTGAAATAAAGAGCCGCATGATCAGGACTGAGACTTGACTCATGAATACATGCAGTGCCGTCAGGAACTAGACCAGCCGAAGGAGAACAGGGGACGGTGGGCTGTACAGCAGATTACGGGGTGCTGCGCCGGATGCGCCAGGTGCGGATGGGGATAAGCTGCAAGTTGGCGGGCACGCGAGAATCGAGATTGAAGTGTGTTGCGAAATTTGGAGGACGCGTACGGAAGAACAAGCAGAATGAGTCACTGATAAGCATTGGATAAGCACGAAGTGGGATCAAGGCGGATCGAATCGCAAGCCGCCGACTGATGCCATCAGCTTGCCGCTCCGCACGCCAGCGCTCATCTCCGAGTCCACCGCACGCCCGAAGCCCAAGGACCGCATCGAGCGCGCCTAATTCCCGTCGTTTCTTATGCTTGTATTGAATGAATACCCGCAGCGACCCGCTTCACCACCTCGCCGGCCCCTGGGCCCTTCGTGCCCCGTCGCCGACGCCACCCGCTTTGCCCTCGGCTCCCGCCGCCAGCGACGCCAAGGGCACGAGGACGTGTACCTCTGGCTCCGCTGGTCCGCCCCGCCGGCGCAGTGCTCATTCGCTGCTGCCCCCGCTTGTCGCTTTCCCTGCACAGCCCCTCCTCGTTTATTAAAACTTTTATTACCTGCGGCGGTGCGTTCGTATAACGCCATTCTCGCGTGCCTCCTCCGCTCCTACCCCATCTATTCCCCAGCCCGCTGCGTTCTTTATTCTCACGTATCTGGCTTCCCGGCCTCTGCACCCCGAGTATAACGAAAGGATGCTGCCTCGCTTTGGGGACCCTGGTGTATTGGGCGGTTCTGGGCCTTAAGCCTTGCGCTAGTGTGGTTTTGTGTGTTCCGTTGCGGCTGCCACCTGCCATGCTCACGGCTAACGCGCGCGGCACATCGTGCGCCACCGGGTCCGTGGCTAGCCCGCAGGCGCGTGTGGTGACCTGATTGCGCACGGATCTGCCGAAAGGAATCGCGCGCGTTACAACAGTCTCATCCACCTCTCTTGCTTCTGACCCCGCCTGCTCCGGGATTTTCTCGCTAACCACTTGCGCACACCGCGCCTTCTCGTTCCACCCCGCCCTCTTCCGGGACTATCTGCACACGCGCTCATGTCCGACGCTGCGACTTCGCGTCAGCTCGTGGAATGCAGCAGACCGCCCCACGCGCCTAGTCCGAATTGTCCTACTGCGTATTACTATTCGGCGCCGTATTTGCTCCTCGGCGCGGCCGTCGCCCACGAGCGCACCTCTTGGCTCTGCACGCATATCACCCCTGCGCCGGAGCCACGTGTACCCTCGTGGACGCGTTGGTTCCACGCTTCGCGGCGAGGGCCAGTCGCATGATCCGCTGGTTGAGTCTGCGCTATTTTTCTCTTGCTTCATATTCTGTATCCCGCGTTCACCCGATGAGTACGTCTGAGATGGCCAGCGCGTTGTTGCTTCCTTCGAACTTTTTTATAATGAATGTTATTTCGCGATTGCTGCTCGGTTGGATTTGACCCTGCTTTAATATCCTCTGATTTTCCTCGTTTGTTGTACTTCCCCTCTACTGTGCATTTTCTGCCAGCGTGGTGATCTCTCCCTATGCTCTTCTCTGCATTCTCCGCTCCTTATGCGCCTTCCTGCTGGGCAGAGCCGCGTTCTTCCTGGGAGATGTTCTTGGAGGACAGTGGTGCTGCATCGCGTCCGCACATCTAGATCCTGTTGGGCTGGGCGGGCGGGGCGGGCCGCAAACGTCGTTCGTTCCGTGTTCGGGTCAGGGCGCGGCGCTGTTGGAGAATGGTGTGTCCTTCCTTGCAACGGGAATACGTATTCTACGTGGCTTCATTGCGTTGTACTCGGCATCACGATAATTCTGGGCTTGCGTTGCTGTAAGGTAAAAATACATGAATTCCCAAGGGCACTGAGGCTCGATCCCGGGTCGAACGGGGATTTCCTGCATCGGATTTGAACAGTATTTAGCGAGTGCTATCGAGACGATACCAGGCTAGTCAGAGCCCCAGTATGCATGATGGTCTGCTACTTATGCTAGTTACGAACTTGAATATAGGCTTCCAGCAGTTTGGTCCGGGAGTCGAACGGGCAGCCCTTTATGCGGGACAAGTGCAGCCGCAGACCGTCTGCAATGGAGCCGATGACAGGCTAGTTAACATCCCGAATAACCCTGCAAACTAAACTCGCACCGGAGTCTCAGTAAGCTGACACGAATCCCCGCAGCACGGAACCTGAAATGGGTTCACTCAGTGAGATTCCAAGGCACAAAAACACTCAGCAGGGGCTCCACGACTTCTCCTCCATCATGAACACACGGAAAATATGTTTCCATCGGAGGCGAATGCGTATGGTCTATAGACCAGAGACGGGGATGTCTGTGATGGAGCGGGCTTTGATGGATCTACGAGGCGAGCGTCCGGTATCTCTCCGTCCTCGAATCTCGTGTCTGGTGCGTGGCAGGTTTCCCGGATTTCAAGGCATGATCGGGAAGAAAAAGCGAGTTGTGGGCCGGAAAATTTGAAGTGTGGCCCGGTAAAAAGGAAGCGATGTGGTCGTCCCTCGAGCCCGAGTCGAGCATTGATATCGGAATGCAATTCGGAACGCAGCAGCGAGTGAGTACAGGCGTGGCGAGGCTGGGTTGCGGATGCCACTGTGGAACCGTGCCACAACAATGAGTAGTTTGTATAAGCAGTTTGCATGAACCGTGCGCAGGCTTCTCGAAGTGCTCGGATTGCCGGCCGCGATGGGGGACTATGCTTTTCATCCACCGGGGTAGTACGTGTCCCGGTTTGAACGCCGCACGGAGAGTCCGACATGTGAATCGCAGTAAAAAAATTCAAAAGGAGCAATAAAGAGGGTTTCGAGCCCGGCGCATGGATGGGATATCGGGGATCGGCGCGTCGCTTGGCGGAACCAAGTGCACAGAGACCCAGACTGACGCGGGGGTGAGATGAAGTGCATCGGGATGGAGAACCGCGTGATTAATGAGTGGGTGCAAGCGCGGATACTTGACTGAATAGACGGGTGTTGATGCAATTGCGGCGTGATCGGGTGGAAGTCGTATTGCGTCTCTTTGATAACTGTCCAGCGTGGTGCCGGTGGGTATTACGGGGTCAATAAGAGCGATTTCGGGGCGCTGCGGCAGCTACCGCGCCGGTCCGAGAATGGTGTGGCAGTTTGCGGTTCAACGGATCCTGTTTTGAAGATATGAGACGCGTGGTGGAGGGTGGAGGGTGGACTGCGGGGGAATTGATTTTGATGTGATTGCAACGATAGTATTTGCCAGTGGGTGAGAATGAGGAGTAGGGAGTACGACAATTGAATCGAGAACAGACTCAAGAACGAGGGGTTTCCAGGACCCAGCTCGTTGACGGTGTTTCGGCATGGGTGCTTGGCGAAATCGAGAGCGGGTAAGGCTGCACAGAATCCGCGGAGACTCCGGCTTTGGGCGAAGGGATTGGATCTAAGAGCAGCATAATCCGGTGAGGAATATGCCAGAGAGACGCAGCGCAGAACCACAGGGGATCCGTCGGAGGCACGGCGGCGCCAGGAAGGCGGATCAAAGACGGATTGCAGTGGGGTGCTCCGACGGATGCGGATGCGAACAAGCCGCCTCGGATCTGGATACGGGTGCGCGACGTTCGGGTGTGTGAGACGCGCTCGAGGTTGGGTGTTAACTTAGAGGGCGCACGCAAGAAGTTGATGCCACGTAAGCGGCCGGCAACAGCCGCG